GTCTAAGGAGCAAGTTTAGCCAATTGTGCCACGTGTCGTCACCAAAATTCTCCTTCATTAAACAGTTAAAAATTTATTACTAATACGTAAAATTATTAAATTGAAGTTAAGTAATTAACCAATAGTTAATTTCGGAAAAATAAATACGTCTTTGGTAATTATTGATAAATATATGACATAAGAAAACATTAATTATCAAATTAATAATTGTATTAAGAATACAGTTTGAAACTTAGTCTGGATACATTAAACGTAGGTTAATATTATTTTTCAGATGATTCTGTTTGATATATTTTTCAAAAATTAAAAAATATTACTTACCAAAAAAAAGATTGTTACCAAATAACTATATTACGAATACAATTCAAAACTAAGTCTACCTATATTACAAGTATATTAATATTTTTTCTTATATGATTGGTATATTTTTCATAAATAAAAAGAGACTACGTACTAAAACGATGAGATTATTATTTTTTTTTATATAAATTTGACTTATTGTCAAGATGGATGGAACCATACAAGAAAATACAAGTTTTGTGAAAGCATCCGCGACGATATTATGGTTCAGCGGGGTATGTTGGATAACTTGTCATTTTTTTTTCATATTTGCAGGGTGTCCACCGTCGACAATAGTGACTAATCCCTATCGCTGAATTGTAGGCACATCGATGGGTGAGACAACTGGCCAAAGTATTTAAAGTTGCTCCATGCCTATGGCGAGGTTCGAAACCCTCGACCTATGGTTAAGGGTGGAGGAGTCCCTTCCACTCCACCACAACCACTTTGGTTAAACGATGAGATTATTTACCAAATAATATACGAGTACAATTCAAAACTAAGTCTGGATACATTAAACATAATTTGATAATATTTTTCTGATGATTCTATTTGATATATTTTCCAAAAATAAAAATAGATTAGTTACCAATAACGAAAAAATATATTTGTTACCAAATAATTATACTGCGAATACAATACGAAATCAAGTCTACCTACATTAGAAGTATGTTAACATTATTTCATAGGTGATTGTTATATTTTTCATAAATAAAAAGAGACCACTTACCAAAACGATGAGATTATTTACCAAAATAATTATACAAGTACAATTCAAAACTAAGTCTGGATACATTAAACATAAATTGATAATATCTTTCTGGTAATTCTATTTGATATATTTTTCAAAAATAAAAATATATTAGTTACCAATAACAAAAAAATATATTTGTTACCAAATAATTATACTGCGAATACAATATGAACTCAAGTCTACCTACATTACAAGTATGCTAATATTATTTCATAGATGATTGGTATATTTTTCATAAATAAAAAGAGACTACTTACAAAAACAATGAGATTATTTACCAAATAATTATACGAGTACAATGCAAAACTAATTCTGGATACATTAAACATAAGTTTATAATATTTTTCTGATGATTCTATTTGATATATTTTTCAAAAATAAAAATAGATTAGTTGTCAAATAAAAAATATATTTATTACCAAATAATTATACTGTGAATATAATACGAAACTAAATCTGGATAAATTAAACGTATGTTCATATCATTTTTCAGATTATTCTATTTGATATATTTTTTAAAAATAAAAAGAGATTATTTACTAGATAATTATATTACAAATACAATTCGAAACCAAGTCTGTATACATGCAAGATAGGTTAATATTATTTTATAGATGACTCCATTTAATATATTTTTTAAAAAATAAAAAGAGATTAATTTAAAAAAAATAAAAGGAGATTAGTTACAAATAATTATATTATGAATATAATTTGAAAACCAAGTCTGGATTCATTAAATGTAGATTAATATTATTTCTCAAAATATTTTTTCCCTTTGTTTTGAATTGTTAATTAATCATTTTATGTTGCATTTTAAACTCCGACATTATAGGAAAAATTTTGGTACTACTGACATACCTTTTCTTTTTTAGAGTGAAGGCATCATTTTTAGAACATGTATTATATTTTCCATGTTAAAGATTATTTCTATTGTATGTCGTTGACAAATATTTATGAGTTTTGATGGTTTTATTTTTAAACAATCACAAGGGTCTTATTTTGGTATGGTTTGCACCGTTGCTATTATAGAATTTCAATGGGTTTAGCTAAAAAATAATTATGCATCAATTTCGGTCTAAAGGAGTCAGATTGACTAAAATGAAATTACTCATGCTCTAGAGTATGAAGGTAAATATATATACTTTATTTGAGACATTAATAGTTAAATATATTTACTTTAAGTGCAGATTATCTATGTGTTTTGGTTTTACAGGAGAAGTCTGGCACCGTGATGACAAAAGACTAAATACTTCGAAAAGTACACATAACTAAGAAAACATTTATGAGTCCAGATAAATAAAATGGGTCCTGCACCCACCAGGCACAACCTGTCTTGCTATTTTAAAAAAGTAAGAAAAATGTTTGGAGTATGGATAAGTATTTCAAATATTATTTATTAGTTTTTTTCTTGTCATGGTTTTTCCCCTATTTTTTGTGCTTTATTTACTTTTGTTGGAATTTTTTTTTTTAATTTTGCTTTATGCCTAAAAAAAAGATTATTTATAATATTTGATTTAATTACTACAAGTAAACAATATGTGTTTTTCAGTCTATATATTTTAAGAATATACATGATTTAATTTTTATTGTTGAAAATAACTTTTATATACTTATATCCCTAAAAAAGTAGGATATTAGACAATTGATCATATTAATTTGTATTTATAATATTTTTTTTATATACTAACACTCCTAAACAAGAAGCATATTCAATAGTTGAACATATTAATTTATATTTTAAAATACACTATATGGCTAAGAAGTACTTGATCAAAGTAGTAACAGTATTGGACCAAGTTAACTATAATCCATGATTAAATCTATCCATGGGTATGTAATAATGATTGTTGGGAGAAGTTTGCCTTTCATAAGTGACCTACCCAATTCAAAAACAGATTAGTTTGAACAATGATTTCGAACACCGGATGCATTATATACCAAAAATAAAAAATAAAAAAATCATATGACACTCTTGAATTTGGACTCCGAATGCCTAATATACCAAAAAACGAAAAAACTAAAACATATGACACTTTTATAAGAAAATAATGATACATTAATATTATTCTAAAATATAATAAAATCCGCACAACATACATGCATAATACTAGTTTATAAAACTGAATGTTTCACTCCAAGAAAAGATATGAAACGAATATATAATTAGAAGTCATTGCCTTCTACTTATAATTTAACCGGTAAATTATTCATTATATAATTGACGATGAACACCACAAAAATATGTAAACCTTAAACATAAGGTTTTGATTTAATACTACTCGGAACTTGGAAGCTAGACAGCTAGTAGCATAGCATCATTTGAGAAGATTTTTAGCTGCAACACACAATGTAATACAAATACTTCAAGTTATTATTCTCTTTGTTCCAAAATTATTATTCATTTTGAATTTTTATTTTTAGTTTGATTTGTAGTAAAAATAAACTAAACTGAAAAATAATTTCTAGACGTATGGAATGAATTGTAACGACAACTTGAGCTAGCAACTATCAATGATTTTTTGTATTTTTCTTGAAAGCTACTCTTGGTTGCTCAGGATTTTCCTTTTTCATTTTCTTTTTCTTTTTTCTCTTTTTTAAAATACAAAAGTCAACGATGGCTGCGTGGATCATGACACATGCAACCCTTTCACAATAATCATTATTATATATATTAAAATAAAGAAAGATAATCGACACGTGTCGCTAATTGAGACCATCAAGCATCACTTTTAACTTATTATCATTTTAGCCCTTAAAGTTCTATTTATGTGTTACTTTGTCTTTAATTTTATCGATTTTACATTTTCAATGACGATTAATTGTGTCTAATCCCCAAAGTCCTCTTGTCTATAAATAAGCCATAGGCATCTAGACATAATTTACGAATTTTTTAATATATTTTTTACTCCAAACATAATATTAGTTAGTGGGGACAATTTTTATTATACAACTTTTCAAAATTTTTATTGTAATATTTTTGGTTACAAATATACATCTCATAAATAGTATCAATAACTCTCATTTTGATCTAAAATTGATTAATCAAAAAAAATTTACGGTTTTAAGAAATATTAATAACTACATTATCTAATTAATTATTTTGGAAGATGAATTTTCAACATTGACACATGCAACCCTTTCACAATAATTTATATTAAAATTATTGTCCAATTTCCTTTTTCAGTTTTTAAATAATTTGAACTAGAAATAAAAATTCAAACTAGACAATAATTATGGGATGGAGGGAGTAAATAGAAAATGATGATATTTTCATATCGATGATGAAATCTCTTCAGGTATCTTCCACAATTTTCATATCTATACAAAGTCAACGATGTAAAGCATAAGCTAATCAATCCCTCCACTTTTCTGACTACCGCCGGCTCAGATTCTTTATGGACCCCTTCATGATCATTCTTTGGGCTGTCTTTCCATGGTGTTTGATATGGATCATATCTCTTGCATCAAGAAGAGGCAAAAGTCTTCCTCCGGGACCGACGCCGTTGCCGATCATCGGAAACCTCCATTTAATAGGGGAACTTCCTCACAAGTCACTGGCAAAACTCGCCAAAGTTTACGGCCCTGTCATGGGTCTAAAGCTGGGGCAGGTAACAGCTGTGGTGATTTCTTCTTCAGAAGCAGCAAAAGAAGTCCTCCAAAAACAAGATTCGGATTTCTCCAACAGGGCAGTGCCTGATTCGCTTCGTGCAAATGATCATTCCAAATATTCTGTTGCTTTTTTGCCCAGTGCCTCCAAATTGAGAATCAGACTCCGTAGAATCATGAGTTCTTACATCTTCTCAGCCAGCCGACTTGATGCTAATCAGCAATTAAGGTCTAAAAAGGTTCAGGATCTAATTGGGTTCTGCGAGAAGAGTTGTGAATCAGGGGAGGCGGTGGATATTAGGCAAGCTGCCTTTACAGCTTCCCTCAACACTCTGTCTAATATCTTCTTCTCCGAAGATTTGACCCACCCTTCGGCTGATTCAGCGAAAGAATTTAAAACTGTTATGTCGGATTTCTCGGCCGAAGCCGGGGGGCCTAACTTGGTTGATTTCTTCCCGGTGCTTAGGAAGTTTGATCCACAGGGTGTTAGGCGTCGTATGACTGTTCATTTTCGCAAGGTGCTTGACATTTTTCATGCTCTGGTCAGCCAAAGGTTGGAGAACAGGAAATCTGGTGGCACAAGGATGGATGTGCTAGATGGCCTGCTTGCTTTAAGTGAAGAAGATCCAGAGGAGATTGATATAAATTTGATCCAGCGTTTATTCCTGGTCAGTTTTCTTCTCCATTTGATTTCATTAATCCTATTTAAGTACTTTGGTTCTCCATTTGACTCTTAGATTCATTTATGTTCATTCTACCAAAAGGTTTGCCGATCTACTCCCTCCTCTCCTTAATATAAGACGTTTTGCTTTGTAACCTAGTGCGCATTTTTATTTAATGAAAAAATCTTTAAAAATTTCCTATCAATCAATTGAATATAATGAATGTGAAAATATATTTTTGAAATTTTTTCTACGACAAATCAAAATGCCTTAAATTAGGACCGGAGGGAGTATATTTCAAAGAAATTAAGCCAAAAATGTCGCTAATCTGTTCAGTTACTTGTTTCTGGAACTGTTATTAGTGCAACTTGCAACTCTTAAATTCATTGAGAATAGTTTTTCCATGCTTAAGGAATTAAGCGCAAATCAGTGTGCAAAAGTTGGTTACTTCCAACTGATGATTATCTCTTTCCCTTTTGTTTAACAAAAAAAAAAAAAAAAATGCGTCGCAGGACTTACTTTCAGCGGGTACGGATACAACTTCAAGTACGCTTGAGTGGGCAATGGCGGAATTGCTCAAAAATCCACGGATCTTACAACGAGTCCAAGCTGAGCTTGCTGAAGTAGTCGGCAGAGGGAAGCCGATAGAGGATTCTGATGTAGCTCGATTGCCTTATTTGCAATGCGTTGTGAAAGAAACTCTACGACTACATCCAGCAGTACCGCTGTTGCTTCCCCGCACAGTGGAGCGAGATGTTGAGCTGTTTGGCTACAGTGTGCCTAAGGGATCACTAGTTTTAGTAAATGCATGGGCGATCGCCATTGACAAGAAACTTTGGGAGGATCCATTGCTTTTTAAGCCCGAAAGGTTCGCCAAATCCAAATTGGATGTTAAGGGACAGGATTTTGAGCTGATTCCTTTTGGTGCCGGGCGAAGGATTTGTCCTGGCATGTCACTGGCATTAAGGACCATCCCGTTAGTACTGGGTTCGATGGTGAATGTGTTTGACTGGAAACTTGAAGGCGGCATTGCGCCTGAAGAATTTGATATGGGAGAGAAGTTTCACGTTACAATGCATAAGGCAGAGCCCTTACGAGCTGTCCCAATTGCCCTCTAAGATAACCCTTCAAAATCTGCACATAGCTCTTAATGGAGCATTGTACTTTTCAATCAGAGTCAGGTGGAGGTAGAAATGATTTGGAAAGACTGATGAAGAAGGAACTAAGTTTGTTCGAAGCTGAGGAAGATACATCATCAATTCCTTAAACTGTACTGTTCGAAAACATTGTTACGCAATAATGAATCTTTTTTGGTGAATTTTCCGGTAGAGCGTATAAGCACCATACAAATGCAAAGCAATTTGAAGTATGCACAATGCCTATACTTGAAAGTTATCTTACACCATGGAAATTCCCAGGGCAACGAATTTGTCTTGTTTTGCGATCACTCATTCATCATTTCTTGCCAAAAACCACGCCTAAAATTAAAAAAAAGAGACTCTGCAATTTAAACCAATAAAACCACAAGAAATGTTACGCATCACTCCTCCCATGACACTCACATCCAGATGCAAAAATATGCTTAATTACAGACCAAAGAAGGCATAAATGCTTAATGACTAATTTACTTCGTTTGGACAAATCCATAGGAGTAATGGCTACAGAGAAATAAAGATGAACTTGGCAACTAAAATGGTGAGGCTCATTCCATCACCACTGTCAAGTAGCAGTCCTGACCAAGGGCGAACAACAGCATAACCATCAGTTCTAGCTACATCTGAAAAAGTAACCGTTCTTCCACCCAAGTGATCGGATCCAAGAAACTACAAACAGAGACACAAAACAAGTTGAAACTCCACAAACTTCTTCATGCGCCAGGACTGAAAGTCACTCAATTTCAACTTTCAAGCTTGCAATTACTTTACAATAAACACATTGGCAAAACAAAAGGAGCCAAACGAAACCATTACCTCAGTCCTCAAATATAAACTACAAAATAGCTTATTCCAACTCGGAAACTTTAAGCATCAACTTCATATTGTGATTTTCCTGCTCAAGAACCTTGGATTGAGCTCAACTCCACCAACTTGGTCAACCCATCAAGCTTGGCAAGGATTTTATCATACAATTCCTCCTATTCAGATCAGAGGTATATTTATTTAGCAGCCTCAGTGCCCGTTCACCTATTCAATCTACCATTTTCAAACCCTTCAGCAAACAATTCAAACTGCTTATGTCCTTCCTTTTCCTTCTTCAAAAGTCCCAAAGTTTTAGTTTTTCTATCCTCTGCCATGCCAGTATTAGAGGAGGATCCAGTTTTCAATTCGAAGGGCAGAGATGGAAACAAAACATCAGGGCTAAAAGATTCATAATGGGATCTGAAAGAAGGTGCAATGTTGATGATGCTTAAACTCTTGGATTCAAAACAAATCGGTACAACACGGTACTGGAATGCTTTGTATTCGTGATCAGTGGTTTGCCGAATCCAAAATGGATGTTCAGGGACAGGATTTTGAGCAGATCCCTTTCGGAGCTGGACGAAGAATTTGTCCCGGAATGTCATTGGCACTAAGGACTATTCCTGTAGTACTGGGTTCGTTGCTAAATATGTTTGATTGGAAACTTGAAGGCAGCATTAAAGGCACAGCCCCTGCGAGTTGTCCCAGTTGCTGTTAACGATATGATCAACTGAAACTGAAAGCTTATTTTTGAAATGAATAAATCCAGTGAAAACCATATTCACAAAGACATGAAGATAATAGAAATTTCTTTTATGTTTCAGGAATGGATCACTGCTGCTGGCTAGTGAAATTTGAAAAGGTACATTTGTAACTAGTTTAGATACTCGAGAACTCTTCAACCAAATCAAACACCGATTCAAATTAATGACACAGTAGTATGGAATTTTTTATTTTTTTTTTAAGGGTTAAAAGGAGGAGTATAGAGCTTTATTCACATTGAAATTATTAAACGGGATAAACCACTCCAAAACACATAATCTCTTCTGGCAGCATTCGATAAAATCTAAAGAGGCCTCCACATAATAACAAATGTCACATAATTTACAACAAATTGGACAATTATAGGCATGGTCAAACTTTGGTTCCGATCACCACATCAACAGTTCCCTGATACTAGGAAATAAGCCTTCCTATGGTGTGTAATGGTTCCAATGCTGACAACTTTAAAACTTTTGAAAAAAACATGATGTGTATTATTGTTTTTGACTCTACTAACTTTGTTTTAAAAAATTAATTAAAGAATAATAATTGTTGCGAAGAAAATTTGCAAGGAAAATATATAAGTAATGAATCATAACCATATATAGTTAAACTTTACCTTTATGCGTTTATTTATTTAAGAGCTAGGAGATATGTAATTAAAATTTAACTACATCATTCCTTGTTGAAATTTTGAGTAAATTTTCCATACATGTATTAAAAGTTTATAGTAAGATTGACTGTTTTTTACTCAAAAAAAAAAAAAAAGATTGACTGTTTTGCAGCAAAAGATGGAGCAACTTTTACAGTCTACGCTTAATTAATCTTCAACCGAACTTAAGCTAGGCCTCTTTAATTTCTCTAGATTTGTCGTTGTAGCCGCCGGTGCGACAGGTAATATCTGACATAATTTCTCTAGATATTTGTTGTCAAAGTAACACTTGTGTGACAAGTACCATTCACTTGATGACTGGAACAGTTTATATTGGCCATATTATTTGAAATTTGGATGTCAATAATACATTGCAGTAAAGAAAAGTTGAACAAGTGAAACTGCAAAATCGTTAACGGGCAGTAGTGAAGAGCGACTATGATATAAATGCCAATGAACATTGTTATCAATAATTGATGATTCCGATATACACTTCAAAGTTCAAACTTCTGTCCCCTAACAACTGCCAGGCAATTCCAAAATGCGAAATGGATATTTTTATATTTTATAAAGATGAATGTTTTACCTGAAAAAACGAAATGAATATATTAATTATAAAAGTCTTTCCTTTCTAAATAATTAATTCAACGAGTGATTAATTATTATAATTGTGATAAACACCACAAAAATATTCTCAGATTGATTACCTTCCATCATAATAACACTAGTATTTTTTTTTCGAACTTAAATATTTGAACAATGTGTCTGTATCAAAGAAACTCTTTCTTAAGACTACTTGTCCAGGATGATTTACTCTCTCCTTTGATTTTGCATGATAGTGTTGTGATCTTTGAAAAAATAATAAACTATACTTTCTTTGCTCGGAAAAAATTGTTATGTCCATTATTATAAATGTAAAAATTGGACAATTTTGGCGGGAGGAAGTATCTATATCTATATATATCTAAAGGATGTGTAACTATGTAAAGCATATGTATACCAATCAATTTCTCCACTTCTAGTTTTCAATTAAAAAATAAAAAAATAAAAACTTCTTCCACTTGTCTGACTTCGTTCTGTCTGATCAGAGGAAGGAACAATGGACCTCTTTATGGCCATTCTTTGGACTATCTTTCCATTGTGTTTGATATGGATCATATCTTTTGCATCAAGAGGAGGCAAGAATCTTCCTCCCGGACCGAAACCGTTGCCGATCATCGGAAACCTCCATTTAATAGGCGAACTTCCTCACAAGTCACTGGCAAAACTCGCCAAAGTTCATGGCCCTGTTATGAGCATAAAGCTGGGCAAAGTAACAGCTGTTGTGATTTCTTCTTCAGCAGCCGCAAAACAGGTCCTCCAAAAACAAGATTCGTAATTTTCCAACAGAGCAGTGACTGATTCGTTTCGTGCGAATGATCATTGCGAATATTCCGTTACTTTGTTGCCTAATGCCTCCAAATTGAGAATCAGACTCCGTAGAATCATGAATTCTTACATCTTCTCAGCCAGCCGACTTGATGCCAATCAAAAACTCAGGTCCAAAAAGGTACAAGACCTTATTGGATACTGCAAAATCAGTTGTGAATCAGGGGAGGCAGTGGATATTAGGCGAGCTGGCTTTACAACTTCCCTCAACACTCTGTCTAATATCTTCTTCTCCGAAGATTTGACCCACCCTTCGGCTGATTCAGCAAGAGAATTCGAAGCTATTATGTCGGATTTCGCCGCGGATGCCGGTGGGCCTAACTTGGTTGATTACTTCCCCATACTTAGGAAGTTTGATCCCCAGGGTGTTAGGCGTCGTATGACTGTTCATTTCCGCAAGATGCTTGACATTTTTCATGCTCTGGTCAACCAAAGGTTGAAGAACAGGAAATCTGGTGGCAACACCATGGACGTTTTAGATGGCCTGATTGCTTTAAGTGAAGAACATCCAGAGGATATTGACGTAGATTTGATCCAGCGTCTATTCCTGGTTAGTCTTCTTTCTCCATTTGATGTCATAATATTCATCCTACCTAAGCACTTCAGTTCTCCATTTGACTCTTTGATTCATTTATGTTCATTCTTATTAAATTCATTGATAAGAATAATTTTCCCATGCCTAACGAATCAACGCAATCAGTGTTGATTACTTCGTACTGATCATTGCTTTTTTCCTATGTTAAACGAAAAAAATACATCGTAGGACTTACTTGCAGCAGGCACAGATACTACTTCGAGTACACTTGAGTGGGCAATGGCGGAATTGCTCAAAAATCCACGGATCTTGCAACGAGTCCAAGCGGAGCTTGCTGAAGTAGTCGGCAGAGGGAAGCCGATAGAGGAAACTGATGTGCCTCGATTGCCTTACTTGCAATGTGTCGTGAAAGAAACTCTACGACTACATCCAGCAGTACCGCTGTTGCTTCCCCGCACAGTGGAGCTAGATGTTGAGCTGTTTGGCTACATTGTGCCTAAGGGATCAATAGTTTTAGTGAATGCATGGGCGATCGCTACTGACGAGACACTTTGGGAGGAACCATTGCTTTTTAAGCCCGAAAGGTTCACAAAATCCAAATTGGATGTTAAGGGACAGGATTTTGAGCTGATTCCTTTTGGTGCCGGGCGAAGGATTTGTCCTGGAATGTCATTGGCATTAAGGACCATCCCGTTAGTACTGGGTTCGATGGTGAATATGTTTGACTGGAAACTTGAAGGCGGCATTGCGCCTGAAGAATTTGATATGGGAGAGAATTTTCACGTTACAATGCATAAGGCAGAGCCCTTACGAGCTGTCCCAATTGCCCTCTAATATATGACCTTTCGAAAGCTGCACAGAGTTTTTTAATGGAGCAATGTTCTTTTCAATCAGAGCACGACTTATCAATCCGAGTCAGGTAAAGGTAGAGAAGATTTGGGTAGACTGATGAAAAAGGAACAAGTACGTTTGACAATGAGGAAGATGATATATCAATTCCTTAAACTGTAATGCCTGAAAACATTGTTATGTAATGTAATCCTTTTTGGTGACTTTTTCTGTAGACCCCGTATGCGCACCAAACAAATGAAAGGAAATTTGAAGTATGCACAACGCCTAAACTTGAAAGTTATCTAATAAGTCACTGCAATCTGCATCTATGTATAAAAAGCAGAAGTAAAACTGAGTTGTAACAATTAAATTGGCAATACACCAAGAAAACAGAAAACAAAAAACTCATGATTGATTATTAAAAAGTAGACATTCGAAAACAGAACATCTGAACCTGAAATAAAAGGTTTCATAGGTTCAGAAGCTAAAAAGGAGGGAAAAAAAGAAAAGAAAAATGACAAAAGAATCTAAATCAAGAGCTGTTGTTGGGACCCTTCAACTTCAATTACCATGAAAACAAAGACGAGTGAATTCAATCAAACTGGAGCTTCACCAGTTTTAGGATGTAAAATTACCTTGCCACAACTAATACTATTAGCAACTAAAAGTACCAAAACCTGTAAAATTGCTAATACAATTCTTATTAGAAACAACTAAAATAGCTTCAATTGCGAAATATAGAAAATTATGATTTTTTCGTCTAAATAAAAGTTTCGTGAACAAGTGTCTTGTACATAAGATTCATTAAAATTTAAATTTTAAACTAATCAGGAATCTGAATTTTTAACTGAAGACAAGCTTGATTATACGATTTACTTGTTTCTTCTCTTTCCGTAAATACATAAAAAATCTACTATGTTCACGAAAATCCAACTAGTTTCATGTATAAACAACTTGTTCCCTATCTCAATTAACCTAAAACTTGGTTTCCCTAAATTTAAAACCATCGCACACGACTTATGCGTCATTGAGATTGAGATACCTAAGCTAATGAAAATGTAATCAGCACATATTAATAGCTTAATCAATCACCCCAAAGAACAGAATCACCAAAAAGGGAAAAAGTAAGCTAAAGCTAGTTGTTAATACCTAATTAAGATGATCTTCAGTCGTCCTCAAATTGCTCCGAAGAATAGATTTTTAGAATCTAGATTAAGAATCTCTTCATCAGATACTCCATAGAGCCCAACTCAGAGCTCACGAACTATATGGAGTCAATCCAACTGGAAGCGGAAGGCAGAACACCAAAACGGAAGCTCGAAATTCTGCAGCACCAGAAAAACTTTACCCCAACAATCAATCATTGAAGTTAAAGCTAAGAAGACTGCAGTCTTAGAATACCACACAAAATATTAAAATTCTCTGTACAAGAATTTTTTTGGTTTCGACGCCTCTCCTCCGCGATCATCAGAATAAGCAGCCGTCATCAGAATATGCAGCGGCAAAGCAGAAAACTCGGCTACCAACTGGAAGCCGGAGCGAGAAAATCGAATTGGCAAGAATTAGGAATTGAAAGAAATTAACATCAGCACCTTTTGGTGTTGCACACATAAAGAAAGAGACTTAACTTTATAAACCCCCGGCATTAGAGAAGCAGCGGAGGCCGGGGTTGCTGGCTCGTAGAACTCGAACAGAGGAGACAAAGCAGAGTAAGGCCAGAGGCTTATGCTTACTGCTATTTCCCAAATTGTATTCGCTAGATCGGCATTGTAAAGAAGGTATAGGAGTTTTCCGACGATCGAACAGCCTTCTACAATCAATCCATGCCATCGCTGTTTCCACTATGATGCACCAATACCTAAAACTTTCACTTCTACAACCGCTAGTGACAGATTGGCGTGCAAAGAAAGGAGGAAAACGACAACGAAATTATGGAGGGAGGCGGATTAGGGTTCCGGCTAAGTTCTAAATCGGAATCGTCGGATTGTTATTGCATTGAAGGAAGAGGTTTTCGTGATGGCTCAACACAACAGGATTCAACAAATCCAATTCACTTCAAAAAAACAAAAAGAGGAAGGCTGAACGCCCGCGTACCGCGCGAGTTACTGCGCTTGTTAAAAAAAACTCGCAGGTCACTCGCGGCTCGTCTTATAACCCGGAATGGCCCGCGAGTTTTTTTAAAAGAATCGCAATATCTCGCGCTATGCGCGGGCATTCAGCAGCCAAAAAAATAAAATGATTATTTCTGAAATTACTGTTGTGCCCCTCATTAAAAGAAAGACCGTCCAACCAATCATATTTGAAGAATAAACCAATCCAGCCAATCAAATTTTAAGAATTTTTTTAGCTCACCCAGACTTTTATATTTATTATATGCTATAGATTAAACAAAAATAAACAAATAATATTGATTTAGGATGGGGCCAATGGGGCCAAGGTCCCATGGCCCCAACCTAAATCCGCCACTGGTGAGAACCCTAATCACAGATACTTGAAGATAATATAAATTTCTTTTATGTTTCAGGAATGGATCACTGCTGCTAGTTAGTGAAATTTGAAAATGTACACTTCTTAACTCGTTTAGATGCTCGAGAATTCTTCAACCAGTGGCATAGTGGTTTGGGCTTTGGCATCTTACCTGAGAGATTCAGGTTCAAACTTCGCTAACAACACTTTTAGTGTTGAGTTTGCGCAGGTTTGTTTGTATTTGTCAAGAGACTTTCCGAGTACCAAATCGAAGCGTGTACGTGTGGAGTATCCCCTTTAGTAATACTATCTCCTTCTCCATAGACCCCACTCATATGAAATAGACTAGGTATTTGTAAGTATATGTAAAAAAAAAAAATCAAACACCTCATCAAATTAATTAATGAGACAGTAGTATGGCCTTTTTTAAAAAATAAAAGTCTTGAAAGGAGGAGTTTGGAGCTTTATTCACATTGAAATTATTAAACGGGATAAATCAAGTAATAGTAACCTTTTCACATAGACCCCGCCCACTAGGTATTTGTAATTATGTGTCAAAAAATCAAACACCTTATCATCAAATTAATTAATGAGACAATAGTATGGCCTTTTTCTTTAAGAAAAAGAAAAGTCTTGAAAGGAGCAGTTTGGAGCTTTATTCACATTGAAACTATTAAACGAGATAAACCACTCCCAATTACATAATCACTTCTGGCGGAATTCGATAAAATCTAAAGAGCCATCCACATAATAACAAATGTCACATAATTTACAACAAATTGGACAATTTATAGGCGTGGTCAAACTTTGTTTCCGATCACATCAACAGTTCCCTGATCCCCGAAAAAAGCCTTCTATGGTAAGTAATGTTTCCAATGCAGACAACTTTAAAACATTTGAAAAGCATATGATGTGTATTATTGTTTTTTACTCTACCAACTTCGTCTTAATAGAAATAATTTAAAAATAATAATTGTTGTATACAAAATTTGTAAAGAAAATATATAACAAAGGAATCATAGCTATTTATAGTTAAACTTTATTTTTATGGATTTATCCATTTAAGGGTTAGGAGATAATTAATATTCAACCAAATCATTCCCGGTTAAAATTCTGAGTACATTTTCCCTACATGTATTAAAAGTTTATAGTAAGATTGACTATTTTGCAGCGAAAGATGGAGCAACTTTCACAATCTACGCCTAATTAATCTTCAACCAAACTTAAGCTAGGCCTCTTAAATTTTTCTCTAGATTTGTCGTTGTAGTCGCCGGTGCCACAGTTAACATCTTAAATAATTTCTCTAGATATTTGTCAAAGCAACACTTATGGAGAGGTGCTTAATGACCTCAAAAGTTTAGTAATAGGTTTAGTAATGTAAGGAAATGGACCAGTTGTAATGTGTTTTCACTGATTTGGTGATCTTGTATAAAAATTTACCTTTTTATTAAAAAAAATAAAAAGAAGGCTTCAAGTTACAATGTTAATTTTAGAAAAAGTAAAAATAATGAACGAGAAAGCTAGTGTGGGACGGGAATTTAAAATATAAATGTTGATCGGACCAAATAAGTAAACGTAAGATATTGGGGGGAGTGGCGAACAAATAAAGATTTTGTAATTGAGCCCTCGCCCATTGTTTCCTCTCCTTACAGTCTCATTCTTTCACCATCAAACACCTTCCATCACCGCTTACCCTTTAACCCCCTTCAAGCTACCACCCTTCTCATTTCCAGTCCTCTATCATCGTTCAAAAATTGCTACCAGAAACCAACAGAAGGAGGGGGAAGGGAGAAAGTGAGGAGGAAGAATAGCCGAGAGAGAAAGAGAGAAGCGAGGCCGGGGAAGGACGAAAGGAAAAAAAAAGGTAACTAATATTCCCTCCGTCCCATAATTATTGTCCAATTTTATTAAAATGAAAGATTTTATTTTTGGTCAAACTTAACTATATTTTACATTAAACAACCGGATATACCCCTATAAGTAATTGTTTAACCATTAAGATTTTATGAATAATATTTTTTACTAAGGACAAATGTGTAACTTGATCCATAAAAAGTCAAATTGGACAATAATTTTGGGACAAAATTTTTTGGGCAAAGTGGACAATAATTATGGAACGGAGGGAGTACTAATTATTTGCTGCTTAAGTTTATAGTTTATTATGGTTTAAGGATGGAGTCCGATTAGGGAAATGTGGGAATACAACGTGTAGTGGCATAAGTTTGAAATATAGGAATGCATGTTAACGTTGTTAAGTAGGAATACTAATTAGAACAAGGATAATGAGTTGTCATGTTTCAGATTGCTTTTAGAGTCCCTCGAGTATAATTGAAACTTAGTATTGAATTGCTTGGTAGATCGAATGAATAGAAAAAAGGGAGTGAATTTCTAAATTTATTTACTTTTTTGTAAGGCTCGGTCCCCTTATCTTCCTTTATGTGTTTGTGTAAATTGTGCTCCCATGCGTCTTCTATGGACTCCAAAGGTTATTTCGATGTTTTTTTTAAAGAGTGAATGTCAAACATATGATTGGATAACAAGTATGAACAGAATGGATAATCACTCCAAACCGGTTGGATAATCAGTATGAACACAATGGATAACCATTTTTCAAAGAAAAACGAAAAACACATTTCTTCATTTTCTACCCGTAAAATTTAAATGCATTTAAAGTTCAAAAAAAATATTCAACATTGATCTTATCGGATAGATTTCGTCGAGCACTATAAATTTCATGTATAATTCGTGTTATAATTCTTTACGAATCAAAAGATACAAGGAACACAATGATATGCATGTAAAATAAGTTGGTTATCCATCTTCTTAAACTGGTTATCCATTATGTTCATGTTGGTTATCCAACTTATTTGTACTGGATATCCATCCATTTGGTTTGTATGCATATCCAACTCTAATCTTTCAACGAGCATATCTCTCAATCCGTGAAGAATTTGTGAACGAATTATATATGAAATTTATAGTACTCGTCGAGATCTATCCAACGAAATCTACAGTGAACATTTTTTCGGGCTAAAAAATGACTTAATTCTGACGGGCAGAATAGAATAGAGGTGGATATCCATCTTTTTTTTTTTTTTGAAGAGTGAATATCAAACATATGATTGGATAACAAGTACGAACATAATGGATAATCACTCCAAAACGGTTGGATAACCATTTTTCAAAGAAAAACGAAAAACACATTTCTTCATTTTCTGCCCGTAAAATTTAAATGCATTTAAAGTTCAAAAAAAATATTCAACATGGATCTTATCGGATAGATCTCGTCGAGTACTATAAATTTCATATATAATTCGTGTTATAATTCTTTACGGATCAAAGAATACAAGGAAAAGAATAATATGAATGTAAAATAAGTTGGTTATCCATCTTGATTATTTATGTTAATACTGTTTATCCAACTAATTAGTATTATTTATCCAACCTGGTTTTTCTTTTTATTATTTTTTTAAAAAATAATAAACTAAGTTGGTTATCCAACTCGTTTGTATTGGTTATCCAATTATTGGTTTGTACTAGATTATCCAATGCGCTAATGCTGGTTATCCAATGGATTTACATGGTTATCCAAATTGTTTTAACTGGTTATCCACTGTGTTCATACTGGTTATCCAACTCGTGCATACTGGTTATCCAACTTACTGGATATCCAACTTATTCTGTCCATCAAAATTTAGTCATTTTTAAACTCAAAAAAAATATCCGAAATGGATCTTGTTGAATAGATCTCAACGAGTACTATAATTTTCATGCATAACACGTTCTCTAATTCTTTACTGATTATGAGATATACTCGTTGAAAGATTAGAGATGTTTTTTTTGGAAGAGAGAGAAGAAATGACAGGGACTATACTTGTAAAATATAGAAAGATTGATAAAAAGTATAATAAGGACTACTCGTGCAAAAAATAGGGGGCACGGTGCCCCCGGGTATACTGGATACAGCCTCTTGAGGATAGCACTTTTCTTGGTGGTTTCTCCATTTCCGGCTGCCCTGTTTCGGTTGATGATTGTTCGGTTGGCTTATCAGGATAACACACCCTTCCATGTCCAATCTTTCCGCAATTTGAATACTCGGCAGCAGTGGGATTTCTGTGTCCAATTCCACTGCCAAACGAGCAAACTGACCCCTCTCAGCATTAAGGGTATTAGGATCAATTCTTATAGTTCGACTAATAAAATTTCCAATATTTTCCAAAGCTATTTCATCATAATACCTCACTGGTAAATCCGGCAATCTTATCCGCATCGCTATAGTGGTTACCTTGGCCGTTGATGCTCTGAAGTAGTTTTTACATACTGCCTCCAGTCATTCCTTTATCTCTAAGTTATTAATTTCCATTGGAATAATTTTGTTTTCATTGAACTTAATGTACTTTAGTATTTGGCACTCTTTGTTTCTATAAATCTATTCCTTCCTCAGGTACATGTTGCTGGAGTGGTTAAAGAAGTTTTAAAGCAGTTTGTTCAAGAGAAAAATAACAAGATGCTTGAAGTAAGTGGATATGGCGGTATTGCATCTCTGTCTGGGGACTTGTCGAAATTTGTCACAGAAAGACCTACAAAAGGTGGCAATGAAACCTCAGATACACAGGATGTTGATTTTTCCAGCTTTGGGGTTGTGAACTATGAAGATCAACAGAATGACGAAGAGGCTTTCAAGAAGATGCTAGACCGGTTGAAAACCCCACCGCCTCTTCATCCCTTTGCTCGTGAACTGACTGTTGGAGAAGCTATGGAGTTCAAACGCAAGGTAAAAGTTCTGGAAAATGAATTTCATTCCAAGACAACGCCGCTGCTGGAAACTGTTGTTACTATTTGCAAGAGGGAGAGTGAGCTGCGTAAAGCTGATGGTTCTGATCACGAATAGAAGAGAAGCAGTTATGGTGATATGATAGGGGCTTACAATCTAGAAGAAGAATTGAACAACAAATTAAAATTTGATGTTGAGGCAAGGCTTAAGAGCCAAAAGATAGGAGAGAGATCAGGCCATGACATGCCTCAAGGAGTAAGATTTGATGAAGTGCAGACAAGTGATAAATGGCCAATTGAGGAAGCAAACAGGTTGATTGCTATGATTCCAGACACCAAAGACTCGATATTGTCATACGAGATTGACTGAGCAACGTATGATGAGGTATGCAACTCCCCGATGCATTATATGTTCATGTTTTAAAATGAGCTTGCACAATGAGTTTCCCTTTTCTTTCCTAGGTCCATGATGAATGCTTAATGCTTAAGGTATTTCTTTCCTAGTTCAGTATAGGTCTTTGTGTTACTAGGGCTAAGATGTTTTCACGATATTATTTTGTTTGGTGGTGTTTTGGAGAGCTATCACACCTTTTGTGATAGGTTTACAGGAGGTTAAAAAATCTTATTTTAGTTTGTGTCAACATCCAATTGGATAGAAGGAAACATTGAAAACATTATTTATGCTACTTCTTTAAGTTTTCTCATAACTCGGCGTGTCCTTTAACAGTGTGAACTGGACCAGTGGCTGAAACCTTGGATCACTAAAAAGATTGCAGAAATTTTGGGACGGGAAGAGCTCTCTTTGGTAGACTACATTATCTCCAGTATCAAAGAACATGTCACAGCAAAGAATATGCTTTCAAGGCTAAAGTATATCTTGGGGGGAAGAGCTGAGGAGTTTGTGCTAAAGCTGTGGAGAATGCTTATCTTTCAGACTTTAAAAGCCAGGTGGGTGACCCGAGGACTAGGGGCATGATTTTACTGTTTTGGGGCATGCTTATCTTTGGGGCACGCTGGGCTAAGAAAGGAGTTTTAATAATTGATGCCGTTTAGAATCAGGGACATGAAGAAATATAGCATCTTGGAACTCAGAGGTTTGATTTTTATTTTCTAAAGTCCATCAAGGCAAAATATTGCATAAATATAGTTTTGTTTGATATGAGAGGGAGCAGGATGGTTATGGTACAATCAAAACTATGAAATTCTAGTAATACTAGCTAAATGTTTAAGAGGCTCCAAAGACCCTACATAATAAACTAAGTAGTAATTTGCTACAACGATAGCACCCTAGTATTGGACAGACCACTTCAACTTGCTATCACAATTTTCTTAAAACAAGCAAAATAAAGTCCGGCAATCAATAATGCTTGTGCCGTTGCGCAGATGTGATTTAAAAGGTTTGCATGTAACTAGAAAGTTAATGATATAATGTTATGATTTTTTTTTTTAATTCTTTGGCTTTTTAAAATTGAAGATCTATCTCGTAGAGAGTGAAGGTTAAGAAAGATGCATGTTGCTAAAAAACTAAAAAGATGAATGCTAATTTATTAAAGAGTATACAAGGGGTCAAGAAAAGCAAATGACCGTCCATGCATTCAATTAACCGTTTAGAACAAAGTTGAGATTGTGGATGCCTTTAACCGGTGGACTAGATAATAATCACAAGTTTACACGGAAATCCCAAGCATGATGATTTGAGTCCAAGGCCAAGTGAAAAGGAAATATAGGGGTGTCAATTTGGGTTTTGACCCGTGACCCAACCCGAACCCAATCCGAATTTTAACGGGTTTGGATTGGGATTTTTAACCCAAATAATTAACAGGTTGGGTTACAAATGGGTTGGATTCGGGTTGATCCGGATAACTTGACGGGTCAACCCGTTTAATAGGTTTATATAGTAATTTTTATATATTTCTATAGGCATATTGGTAATTTTATAATATTTTTTTCTTAATTTTCATATTCTGTTTAATTTGGTTAATTTTTTCTATTTAATTTGGTTAATTTTCATATTTTGTTTAATTTGCACTTTAAAATGTGGAGAAAAAAAAGATTTTTATTAAAAAATTCATAATTTTTACCAAGAAAAAAGAAATTAATTCGGTATTAAAATAAAAAAAAATATTCGAGTTAAACGGGTCCAACTGGATAACCCGCAAAATATATGGGTTGGGTCTGAATTTAAAAACCTAACCTGTTTAATATATGGATTAAGTTTGGATTAAGGTAAAAAATAAACAGGTTGGGTCGAACTCAACCCGTGAATCCGGACCCAATCCAAATTGACACCCCTAAGGAAATATGCACCACCAAAGCCGGGAAAAAAAATGTGCCGCCGCATGCTGGCCACTTAACCTTAAACTTTTCATGGATGCAATTGACGTCTGCCTGAGCTTTCCGTCAATCCTTTTGAAGCACATTTGCTGCAGAAAGTATATGCACCTGGCTATTAATTATGGTTTAAGTGCAAAAATATTACCCACTAGAATGATTAAAATCTACGACAAAAATGGCCTAACACAATTCTGCGTATTCCAAATTCAAGAAAAGTACAACCAAATAACTGCATAACATTTTTTTTTAAAAGGCTTATTTTGAAATTTAACCAACTAAAGAAATTTACTTTTTAAAAAAAAAGAAAAAAGAAAGGCTTATTTTGAAATTGAGTGAACCTTAAAACAAGTCATCAACCTTTAATATATTTCCACTCTAAGTCTTTTAAAAAAAAAATTGATGATTTGTTTTAAGGTTCACCTTTGAAATTTAACAAACTAAAGAAATTTACTTTCCAATACCTAGCAGCATGGTTTCCCACCAGTTTTGGAGATATCTGATGATGGAATCTGCAAACAAAATTAACATTTAGTTGAATATCATGGCTGTTAGTGTTCACATTGTTGGTTCATGTATCCTCATTCTCAATTTCTTATAATTTGTTATAAGGAGAAAAAAAAACAGAGTAAAAGGTAGAAAGAATGTTTCTCCTTATTATAATCCTCCCAATTTTAGGACCATCTATAAAAATAAAGAAACTCAAATAGGTTCAGGCCGCCAGACGACCTAAATGGTACACACATCAAATAAGATGATTGGACTCTTTTGAGATTCAGACTCCTTAATGACGGTACTTTTTCCTTGAATTTTCGGTTTGAACTTTTGGTATTGCTACCTATACCAGAGTCCTATGACTCAACAAAGGGGAAGAACAATTTTTTTTTCTTGCTTCGTATTTTCTGTTTTTTAGTTGTGGTTGTTTAGATTTAGCGTTGTGTTTCTGAATGAATCGTGGGATGAATATTATAAAACTAATAACAGCCGTTAGATTAATTATGTACTAAAACAAGATGGTGGATAATAACACTCCACGATCGGCCACCAAAAATTCGATATTAGCAAAAAATAAAAATGACAATGTTTGCCAATAATCCGCCAAATGAAAATTTTATGTATATTTAGTTTGTTTGTGTTATTATTTACTCCCTTCAATAGGCCCATTTAGACACGGAGATTAAGAAAAAGTGAGTAATGTAGTTTATGTAGTTAATTTTAAAAAAAATTCCTAAATACTGCACCCTTATTAATGACTAGTGAATTATTAGTTGATACGAGGGACTAATAGTTGAAATTGATTAAATGGTCTTGATTTCAGTGAAAGTGGGAAGAGTATATTAGAGGGTTTATAGAAAAAGTTAATTAATTGTCTGAAGTGGAACTAAATTTTTAACAATCCCAAAAGGGGAAGTGAACCTGTTGAAATGAAATGAAGAGAGTATTTTTTTTAAAGTTTACTCAGTGTATATCTTAATTAAATGTGGGTAAATGTATGTTAGGTCATTCCCTTTAAAAATAAAAAAAATAAATAAATCACTATAATAGCTTTAGAGCTTCTACGAATTTTCCGAAAACAACGATGCCAACGGGCAGAAAAAAACTACAGAATATTGCTCCGTGTTGACATTGAGCATTGCCTTAAATTACTAAAAACAGGATAAGAGAGACATTAGACATACGTAATTCTATTTCCGGCGCATATTTTTTCTGACCACTCCCTCAGGTAGCTATATTTCAGGATTCTCCTTCTTTCCTGGACATATTTAGATAAATGATTCGCAGAAGCTGCAACAGGCTACAAAGATAAGTCAGTTGATCGAAGAGAATAGGGTTCTCTTGGAGGATCTGAATGAAGTTGGATTGGAGCTAAATAGAAAAAAGGAAGAAAATTGATGGAAACATGTTGGGCAGGAGAAGGGAATATAGATGGATTCGGGATTTTGAAACGAACAAAGGTTTGTGATGATTTTTGGACCCGGATACATTTTTCGCAAGATCGAGTCACCATGAATTTTCAATTGGTGAAAATAGTCCCTAACATATTTTTCTCATTAATTTTGATCGATTTAACAAAAGTTTTTCAAATTTAATGGGTAAAACGCTTATTCTGTTAATTACATATATTTTTAATACTCCTTATGTCCCATAATTATTGTCTAGTTTGAGATTTCACTTTTAGTACAAATTATACTAAAAGTGAAATCTCAAACTGGACAATAATTATGGGACGGAGGGAGTAGTTTTTTACTGATTATGAGGCCCACACCTTTGACCAAGCAAAAAAAAATATTTTTTCCTTTTTTCATTTCTGTGTAATAGGCTTAACCACCTAGTGACCATTTGCAAGTTTTATAAATTACAATTTCTGACAAGAACCTACTAAGAGAATTTATATAGAATCCAAAGAAGTGAAAAGCATATCTTTAATAATACCATTTTGACAAATTATATATGTCGATATCCCATAATAAATTTTTGGTGAGAAGTACTTCTTCACCATTACATCATCAAACTGAATGATGTAATAAATAATAATAGTTGATAAAGTATTCCTATAGAAGGGAGAACAAAACAACCAATAAATAATTAAAAGATGAAAGACAGTTTCAAAATATAAACAAAATCAAATCGTGGGAATGCTTGAAACACCATGGCGAGGACTTAGGAAGATGAGATGTAATCCACCGTGATACTTCAAAGCTCTATAAATCCAATTGAACCTAAAACAACAGTTATTTCTACAAAAAAAGAAAAAAAAAACACACAAATTTTTTTTTCCTACTCGAGTGTCTACAAAAGAACAATTTTCTTTCATGGAATGAACGTATATATATAGAGTGATGATGGTTTTTGAAAAGCACCAACAAAATTTTCCAAATTTTGAATGATATTATTGAGTTTTTAATTTCAATTTATTTGGTAAAGATTCTTGGACCATAGTCTTGGTTCACAATTTCTTTTATCAATATTGTGTTTAATATAAATTTAATTTTGTTTTAAATTTGAATCCCATAATTCATGGAATCGGGATAAGATAGGAAGCAAATTTCAATTCCTTTTTTTGTATATCTCTGATCATAAATTTGGCAGATTTTTTCATTATTATATTTATTATTATTACTTAGCATATAAATTTGGATATGTGATTGGGTATTTTTTATTATTTAATTTCTTTTTAGAGGGTTAGACTATAAATTTTAAAAGTTAACTTTTAACATTTTTTTTAAGAGTTTGCCATACAGGATTTTATCCTACGTGAAATCATCTTTGATTCTCTCTTAGTATTATATACTTTAGAATAGAATAGACTGTAGACATAGAAGAAATAGGGGTGGCGGAAGTCAAGCAACTTTAGAGATTTTTTATTTTCTTTTATAGAATGGATTTTTTTTAATTAAATGGGTTTGAATAAATCATGAATGTAGCCACTATTTGGTTTTTAGTTTGTGCATTAAATAAAAATATTGTTACCAAATTAAGGTGATTTTTCTATAAAATTATGAGACCATTTAATACTAAAATTAATTAATTTGAATAATTATGATGATTGGGGTGACTTGATATTATTAATATACTTCAAGGATTATTAGCATAAATTCAGAAACTATTTTTTCCCAAAATTTTGAGGAATTGACATGTAGGATTTTTGCTTAGTTGGGACTCTAGAAATATGTTTTTGTTTTCTCTCTCTGGTTTCTCTCTTAGTATAATAATAACTAGATGCTTGCCCCAGGCAAATGCTCGGGGACGTCCTCCCACCTAATAAATTGATATGTAAATAATAAAAAATGATTAGGAATGAATTTAGTTTTTTATGAAAATAATTGATTGACCAAAAATTAATTTTTTTGAAAGTCCTAAATAAGTGAAGAAGGAAAGTTCCATTCACTGTTAAATTCAAAATTTGAATGAATATGACTATCTGATCTCTTCGTTTATATTATAAATATCTTTTTGTTTTTAAAAGGGGGTGACACGTGGCAGAATAGTTTATGCAATATGGTGCATTTGGAGCCAAAATATTTTTATAAAAAATTGCCACATCAACATCATGTTTTCTGCTTTAATAGGGTAAAAGAGATAATATTATAAATAGATTTTTTTTACTTTATTTAGTTTAATTATTTTTAGCTCTGTTTTACTTTCTTTTTTAAAAAAATTCTTTGGTCTTTTAATCCCAAAATAAATAGAAAACATATTTGGTTTTAACTAAATTTATTTCAAATTTGCACTTGTAAAATGATAGCGGATATCTAGAATTCAAAGAAATAATTACAAAAATATCATGAAATATGATTTCACAAACCCGGAATACATTTAGGTAAATTAAATATATATCTTTTTTATTTTATTTTTGAATTAAAAGATAAAATTTAAAAAGAGAGTAGGACTAAACTAAAACTAATTAAACACAATAAAGTAGAAAAAAATTGAAAAAGAAAGAAAAACAGAACTAAAAATAATTAAACTAAATAAAGTAAAAAAAAATAAAAAGAAAGAAAAGTGAATTAAAAATAATTAAACTAAATAAAATAGGAAAAAAATTAGAAAAAGAAAAACTGGAAAAAGAAATTTGAGCCCCACATGTATTGAGGGCATTATAGTATTTTCGTGTATCAAGGGGGTGTTTTGGTCTTGTGGACGTAACTTAGAGGGATATTTGTCCTTTGATAAAAACTCGAGAAGGCTTTAAGGTTTGGGACAAAACTCAGGGTAATTGTCCTTATCCCTTTAGAAATGCAATATGTTTTTTACCTACGGTAACATGTGGAGACCATGGGCAAAACGGCCAAAACATCCATAGTCACATAACTCCTATCATATCAATTAACATTTAAAAACTTAAATTAAAATTGAAAAATAAAATTAACAAAAAAAGAAACAAAGAAAGAAAAAGGAAGTGGGTCGATCGATGCAATTTTAAGCCATATGTTAAGCTATCCCCTGAGTTTAATTTTTTTTTAATGGAGATAAGGACAAAAAGCCACCAAATTATGTTCTAAAGATTAATTCTCCCTTGAGATTTTTTAAAAAGACAAAAATCCCTCATTGACTGTCATAAAGTTAAGGTCAATGATCAATGGGTGTGAAATGACTAAAAAATCAATGTGGTTTCCACAATATTTTAAAAAGAAGAATCCATAAATTAAAATCTAGAATTTAGCTCACATGACTTCTATGTTTATGTACTCCTACGTAATATACATATATGAAAAACTTAAAACATAGATGACGCAAAAAAAAGGGTAAAAATTGCACTTTAAAATGTTTGTAAATTTTTTTTATATGTACTAGTCAATAACTCCACAAAATGTTGAATTGGAAAAAAGATTACAGAAATTTATTGCACTTGACAATTTGGTGACTATCTCAAAAAAATAGTCCATATTGAGTTTTCAGTTTTGTACTATTTTTAGTACAAATTTAAAAATTTAATGTGGTCTATTTTTTTGGGACGGAGGTAGTATTATATGTGCATGTTATTGAATATCACTCTTGCTGCGGAGTAGGGATCATAGTTTCTGAGGAGAATACATGAGCCTGTAAAAGTGCAGAGCATTCAATTAAAGGTTCCCCCGGATAATTCTTTCTGATGAAATTACTCTTAACAGCAAGTAGCACTGGGGGTGATCACCAGTTGGGGCTACCTAGAGAGGTGACAGTAGGATCAGTTGATACTAAAGCTCGTTTCAGATAGCTTAATGGCCCTTTGAAGCTCCTTCAAATGACCATATTTTGGCTGCCTGATAAACCCTGAGAAGAAGAAACACTACAAGCTGTCAATCACTTCATTTTCAATTCGTGTAAGCTACATATATTTTTCAAATGTGTCGAGAATAGTGAAATTAAAGCCATTGCTGCATTGAAGTCAGTTTTGTTGTCCTAATTATTCGAAACCTTGTATTTATTTCGCGTAAATTACCATTTCCATCGCCAGAACACCACATTGGCTATCTGTAACTCGTGAATATTCAATCCCCATCTGGCATAGCTCAGTGAAACATGATGATCGTTAAAATATTAGAGTGAATAACACTTTGAGTTGATCCCTTTTGGAGCTGGACGAAGAATTTGTCCCGGGATGTCACTGGCATTAAGGACTATCTAATTAGTACTGGGTTCATTGCTGAATACGTTTGACTTGAAAATTCAGGCATTTTCTTTTGATTGACTAATGAAGGATTGAAGGTCCATCACTCCCTTACATCCATCCCTTTTCCCCTTTTAGGAGCGTAGATTAGAAGCGTAGATTATTCAAAAATCTCAAGTGAGTTGAAGTTAGTGAGAAGTATTTAACCCAAAAAATCCATACTAAAAGAACTTACTGTAGTGTCAGTACCATTTAATGATGAGAACGGGAAAATCTTAAACCCCAACAACTGCTCCAAAAACATTGTTACTGCTACATTACCATCATTTTGGGACTTTTTCCCGTAAAGATATCTTGCAATTGTAGCCAACACTAAATTGCGTGCGTCTCATCTTTAACGTTATCAAGCTATGATAAATTCACCGCAATATGCTATCATACACAATGACTTCATATTTCATAACAATGACATGAAGATGAAATAATTGAGACTAGGGAGCAAAGAAAATAATGCTGAAAAATGATTTAGACAAGGGGATATGTACAGAATACTCTCATTTCTTTTAGATATGATCGCCAAGTTCCGAATATAACATCAGCTACTTCAATGTACAGCACTGTAAGCAAACGATATTCACATCTTTATCAGTAGCTCTTCCTCTGAAGGTAAAGATGAACAGCCAGCCTGAGGGCGTTAATTGCAAATCAACTCAGCATGGATGGATGGCCAGTATGGAGCATCCTCTTAAGCATCTCCATTCCGAATGCAGAATCTGACGAACTACACGAGGCAACACATTACTTAGCAGCTTTGTACTTCATATCTTGGACATGTTATGAACACAAGTAGCATAAAAGCATGAATAACAAAGACCAGCGCGATTAGTTAAGCAAAGAAAGAAGGATGTTGAATTAGTTTAACAAAACCAAAACCACGTGTTCTCCGAAGTTGGATGCATCAAATGGGGGATCCATATCACCACATAGTTCTCAACCACAAAACCATTTTGGTGATGATAATAGGCTCAACATCAAGACACCTCCTGCTAAAAAATCAAACAATTTTTTTGAAGGACAATAAGATTTATACTCCTTACATGACTCCTACATCTGGATATAACTATATGCTCAACTAAATTACTGAACACATGAGCCATGACCTTCATGTAAACCACCAGTTAGAAGAGACTACCAACTCCTGTGTAACACGAAACCCTGACATTTACCCGATGCGGGGAGGTTTTGAAATCCTGCCAAAACAGCACCTGGATGACTGTGTTCTTAATCCCAATAGGTCCTCAATTTTTCATACCATAGGATTTCAGTATATGCATATTAACTTAACCTCACTTAGAACAAAATCTACATCGTGACACTATATTAAATCAATAATAGTAACAAAATGAAATAAAGAGGAGTTACCGGGTGCAACCTAGACAAATAAGTTAAAGGAAAGCTTATATACTACGGCAAATGCATCTACTGCAAACCATTACCTTGAAATAGTGATTTCATAAGGAAATGAGATTCCCTCAAGGTTTGGTATTGGCGGAACATGATCCTTCTTCTCATTTACAAATTTTATAATCTGAAATAACACCTCACGGAGAGACGATTCTAGCGCTGCCCTGCGAGCCACCCTCTCCTCAGAGGCACTTTCTGTTCCACATAATAAAATAATAGCAATTAGTCATAACTGGTGTATGAAATGATTATTTCAGCAAAAGTACCCGTGCAAAACAGAGAGAGAGTACCTCCTGGATCAACAACTAATTTCGCATGATGAGACCTCCCAAACTGTGTCTTAGGATGCAGCACCACATTCAGATTTACAAACCACTGCTCCCAATAGAGGCGCTCAACTTTGTTAGTAAACCAAGTTGCCTGTTTGTTTTTGACCTCATAAAAAGACAAACATATCTGCACCATATTTGAGAATTCAAACCAGGTTCAGCATCAAAAAGAAAATGAATTCTTGATTGAAAAACTCCTGAGAATAACCATCTTGAATGCGGGCATTGAACTAAGAAATTCATAGGCAATTCAAGTCACAGCCAAAACAATCTCAAATTTATACAAAATGTAAAATCACATAGTGTCAAAATTTCAAACAAGTTCACAATTAAACAAATTTTCATAGACCAACCACTTGCATCAATTTCAGAATTCGTGCTTTAGGGGTGTCAATAACAAAGCTTTATCTTCTCTTAACAGAGAACAAAAGGATTGTGCTTGGGACTAACAAGTCAAAGGAGAATGTTAAAATTTAACTGGTCTGAAAAGGTACACTTCATGACAACAAAAAGAGTATGTAGTTTCAGAAGGTAGTTTCATTTGCAGCTATCCATCCTCAGATTCTAATAATGGTAATACAAAAATAACAGCCCAACTACAGACATCGTGCTGATATCATGATCAAAACTCAGTCGGCAACACGAACCTGATTTTTCTTATTGGGATGCTTCTCTACCTTGTCGATAAATTGATCAATCTTTTCATCAATTTTCTTTTCAACTTCCACATCACCACATTGCACCTAAACAACAAAAGTAGTTGATCGAGCAGTGAACTTATAACAGCACAAACTGAAGATACCATAAGACTAGAAATGGAAGAAAAAAATTCAGAACTAATTAGTGATTTCTGTTAAAGGATAGCAATCTTACATAAGTAATGTCAAAGAGCTCCAGATCAATGTCCTTTGGCCGTACCAAACCTAAAGCTCTGTGGAACAGGATGGTGTGGAAGATGCCTGCGCAAATTTTCAGTCAGAAAAAAAAAAGCGCATAAAACGAATAGAGATAATTCCAGTCCAACCAATTCGAAAATGAACTTACATCGGAGTACTTCGCGTATCTCGAAGTGCTCCACTTCCTGAAAATGTAAATGGGAAAATTACAGGAGATAAGGGAAAAATTCGAAAAAATCGAGTCGATTAAAGTGATGAAGTGAAGATTAAAGCTTCGCTTACAAGTTCTTTTAGGTGGCAGGCTTCGCAATTCATGATGCCGTCGAGTCAGCTGGCAAAGTGTGAACGGAGACGATCGGCGACGACTGAATTTAGAGTGAGAGATTAGATATGTGAAGCGGAGGCCTAGCGCGGCGATGTGCCCTAGCGTCCGGTGAGATTCCGATTAGTAAGTTGCTCGGCCTTTACCCGACCGGCGACCACGGGTCAGAGGGGGTTTTCTCTTTTCTCTCCGGCGTGGAACGGCGAGATAGTTACAATTTGGTTACGTCGCCGATGTGAGACAAATAGAAGTCTGGAACAACTAAACTAGTTTTATTTAAATTAATAATGCTAGTAATTTGTTTTTGGCAAAAAAAAATTAAGTAATCAAATGAAGGCGCGATCTGAGAAAGACAGCAACATTTACGCCTTTGGACCTCTAAATGAGCAATACGATTTTCAATTTCCCCATAGTTAGCCACTTACTTCTAATCTGCTAGGGATTCATAACAAATCTTACATTATTATGACATGATTTTAAGCTAGTGGTACTTGTAACCAAATATAATTGATATTTGACGAGTTTTGATATTTCGGCCAAAACGAGCATAGTGCAAGTCATGATTGAAATAATTATTTTGATTGAAAAAAACAATTTTATATTTCTAAAATTACTACTCCCTCCGTCTCATAATTATTGTCCAGTTTGAGTTTTCATTTCTAGTTTAAATTGTACTAAAAGTGAAATCTTAAACTGAACAATAATTTTGGGACAGAGGGAGTATGTGATTACGAGGAATATAGATGTTCATTTGTGACTTTTTTCCATTCTCTTCGATTCAAGGTTGAAACCATTAGGAATGGCCGAACCTTGACTCAATTCAGGCGAAATAAAGAAATTTCTGATGGCACAATGTTAAGATAATACTAAAATTAATACCCTCAAAATGGAAAATTCATAAGAATAGGGAAAAACAAAAATAATAAGAAATAAATAAAATTTTGAAGGAAGTGGCGAAATTGATAAATTTAAATTGATAAGAAGAAGAGGAGGGGAGGCGGCTGAAGGAAAGGGGATGGTTACGTCTAAATGGCCTTAGTATCTTTGAAAACTTCAAAGCCAATTCTTTGCCAATCAAAACTCTTCTGTGTCTCCATTCTCTATTTGTTCACCTCTGTATTCTTAGCCCTCTACACATCTTTTTCCAATTCCAGATGTCTCTTCAGATCATCTCCTTTTGATCCCATTCAGTATTCTCTCTTCAGATATCCTTCATCCTATGGAGAACATAAATACTCTCTTCCTACCCATCGTTCTTCTTGTGATTCCCCTGTTTATTTTTCCGGTACCCTTGTCTTCTTTTTGGTTGTTTTGATGACAGTTTTATTGCTGACTTGTTATTGGATTATTAAGATCGATTGAATAAAAGGGTTTTATTTCTTGATTCAGATTATCCAATTGTCACGGAGGAAGTGGAAGCATTATGTAGGAATTCGACCGCATTAGGCTCTGGTACTCTGCATTATATGAAGGGGAATTCGGAGAGTTTCGGTGGCAATTTTAGCACAAAGAGGAGATTTTCGTATTTCAATCGCGATGACGACAATAAAACGGAAATCCCTTGTGGATTCCTTAAAAAACTCCCGATAAGTTCTCGAGGTTAGTTTTAAATTTACGATTGTTTCCTTTCCTCCATATATGGTATGGTTTTGTTCTGTTCAGAGTCATGTGATGTTTCAATTTGGTCGAAACATACGTATAATCACTGACTCTACTATAATCATAGTCTTATTTTTCCGTTTAGATATCTGATTTAATTTCGAATTCTGGGAAGTCTCTTTCACTGTTCTAACTCAGCTTTGGATTTCCAGATCAAGTTCTAGCGGAGAATTGTAACAGAGTTGTGGTAGTATCAGCGATATTCGGTGATCATGACAAGATTAGACAGCCAAAAGGATTAGGAGCTAAAACACTGGACTCTGTATGTTTCTTCATGTTTGTAGACGAACTGACTCTCCAAAGGCTTGATTACCATAATCTGATTTCGATAAAATCGAAAGAGTACAAGGTTGGTGTGTGGAGGATTGTGAAGGTATCAAGCGAGGAATTATACGATAATGCCGCAATGAATGGAGTCATCTTCAAGCATCTCGTCCATAGGCTTTTTCCGAACTCGAAATTTAGCATTTGGATTGACGCGAAATTGCAGCTTGTGGTTGACCCGCTACTATTGATTCATTCGCTCATTGTTAAGGAAGATGTGGATATGGCTATTTCAAAGCATCCTCTGTTTGTTAATGTCATGGAGGAGGCAATGGCGACAGCAAGGTGGAAGAAATGGTGGGATATTGAGGGATTGAAGAATCAGATTGAAACTTACTGTGAATATGGATTAGAACCATGGTCATCACATAAGCCATATCCTTCAGGTACCATTTGCTCACCTGCTCTTTGTTTTCATGTCATGAATAAGTTTCTGCACCAATAATAGTTTGATGCTTCTATAACATGAGTACATGTTTGTTTACCAGGTTGTTTTGTTCCGTTATGAATTATAGAAATGATAAAATTTGATTTAGTGAAGAAATTAAACGAAATCAGGACTCTCTGAATCAAAAATCATTTCCCAATCAATACCAATAAACTTATCCTATGTAAACAGATAGCCTAAACCAAAGATCTGCTCCTCGTTCTGTTATTAATCATTTTGTTACAGTCATCTGTTTATTAAGAAGAAATAGTAAAGTTCATCAGCAATTTATTGCTTAAAATGCGGTGATTTGATTTGGGATTTGGCTCTAGAAAGTTGCTTGAAAATTCCCACCTAAATAATCATTACGTTGAAATCAAGAAAATGTAAAGTTCACGCCGAAGATTATTGAAATTTCTGGATGAAGCAATCGATTCCCGAGTCATGCATGATGGGTGTTGCCACCATTTAGGTAGGACACCAGTTGTGCATGGTCTAGTTACTTGCTAGTACTTCTTGTTCTAGCATCACCTTCTTCTTTTTCTTTTGAGGAGGAAAAAAACCTTAATTTAACATTATCGTCTTGAAGCCATGAAGGTCAACCTACGGAACTAGGGCTTAGGTAGTTTCTCATCTATTTGGTGGAGAAACTGGCTGTGACTGGCCTGGTATAGCTAGGGCCTTTACAACTCAAACCAACATGGGATGTATTATCCAATTATAATTATTCCTCTATTATGAAAGTTTTCTTCTTTAAACGACAATCTATTATAGTATAAAAAATGTGGTACAATGCATGAATTAGACTTACTGTAGCTTTCTTTTACTTTGTATGTTGAATAGAATCTTTAAAGATAGCAAAAACATAAATACAACCCTTCTTTTAGAACTATATTTCTTTTCAAAATGTATGTATACAGCCGGGCAAGTGGTGACCTACAGCTTGAAATAAAATTAAAATTTATAGGGAAACAGCCGGCTCTAAGTTTTACCATCCATTAACTTTGACCTTTTTTAAACACTTAATTGATCTCATTAGAATAATTACTTTGTTAAATTACAACAATATATCAAAGTGAACTAGTCAAATGTAAAGGAACAAGTATTAGTTTGTCTCTATTTTCTTGCCAGTTTGCCACCAAGAGAGGTTTCTTCGAGGTTAATTCAGCCGCCATAATTACTGTGGTCACATTATTCTTGACAACCTCTTTTGGGTGCTTCATTTATGCTGGCTTGACAATTCTTTCCTCCTTGCAAATACACCTCTTTGATTCCCGGCCAACTACCCACCGACCCCCTCCAGCTCTCTTTTGCAACTACTTTTGTTCATGCTTGCTTTAATAAGTAGTACAGTAGTATATGAGTTTTATATGAAGGTTAATCATTTCATCACTTATTATAACAACAATAATGATCTTTTACTATTGTGTGTGGTTATATCAAACAAAAAAGTAGTTGTGAACAAACATTATTTTTCTTTCAGCTAAGTGCAGCCTGGTTAAGGTTTTGTTTGCTTTCAATAAGGATATTAATTTACTAACAAGTAGCTTTACTAAACACATAATTATGTGTGGCTCCCATACGTACGAAATTTAAACACATTTTTTAAAGTAAAAGTTCAAAGTACAAACCTCTTAATTTTTTGCTTAATCAAGCTTTGCTTATTAAACCAGTTGATTAAAGAGTTGCAATACTACGTAACATTGACATAAATATTTTGTTTTCTTTTGTAGATGTACCAGACACGGCTCTAATCATAAGAAAGCACAGCTTGGCAACAAATTTGTTTTCATGCCTACTATTCAATGAGTTGGAACGATTTAATCCGAGGGATCAATTGGCATTTGCGTACGTTAGAGATCACATGAAACCTCAATTGAAGATCAACATGTTTGATGTGGAAGTTTTTGAACAAATTGCCCTTGAGTATAGACACAACCTTAAACAAGCCGGTGGACCTGCCCCGATTATTCCTAATAAACCCAAGATTAGAAGAGCAAGTGTTGATTTATTTGCCAATTCTAGTTGTACAAAATGTGAGCATTATCTCTCAAAAATGTGGGGAGAGCCCCGGAAATCGTAGATCATTTTGTTGTCTCAATTAACATTATTTGTAATTATCCTTTTCCTTGTAGTTTTAAGTACGTAGACTTTCACTCAGAAATATCATTTTTTTAACTCAATGTTTCAAGCCTCAGTTTAAACGTTGCTAATTTTCTTTTCTTTTCTCCTCTTCCTTCTTTTCTTTTTTTTTAAATTTATTTATTTTTTTTTTTTTTGGTTGTGAAGCCTTTGAAATTTGTTAGTAATAGATCGTCCTGAAACTTTAAGAAAATTAATCAACGAATCAATTACCAATTACCCCCATTAAAAAAAGCTGAAACAATTATAGAAAATTATGAAAATGACTAAGCATGAAGTGCTTTAAATTTAATGGACAATTTTATACCTCTAACATTCATTTTGAGCAATTATGTTTGAACTTTTTACTCCTTTTACCAATGTTGATAGTTGTCAATTCACCACAGGCTTAGTCATTTGATCAAATTATGGAAGGTGATTTGTAGTTTTTGCAAACATTGGGGGAGTCAAATTTGAGTAAAACAAGTAAGTGTCCTAAAACAATGACAAAAAGAAATATTGACAATATTTCGTTTCCTACTTAATTACATCGCATTCGAAGGCCATAGTTAAGACCTGGTGGTCGCAAACCAAAATGAAACTTCTAACCAAAACCTCTTCAATCGCTTACATTTCTTGCTTTCAAACAAGATAGCTTAAATTACTTCAGGCTTTCTTTACGTTTTACTATTTCAAATTTAGATAAAAGTTCTTGTTACCGTTGCTATTGGTTCCGCACTTGTTAGGATACTTCATAGAATCACCTGAGCTCCTCAAACTTTACGGGGCCTAGTAATCTCTACTTGGTGGGTTAATATGTCTACATTTTAGCTTCTACGGTGATTGGATGAAGAAAAGCATCAGATAGATTGGAGGAATCCTCAATTAGCAACTGAAATAATCCCAAGTCAGAATTTCGGAGATATGGCAGATTTTTCTTCTGAATGGCCAGAACAGAGGATTAATTACAACTGTTGATAACTGAACAGCAAAACCAGGGCCAGCTCATTGAAGAAATTCCAGGGCAGGTGGAAGCTCTCTTGTCATCCTCTCAAATGCGGTGACTCAGGTGGTCGGAACTGGAACCAGGGCCAAGCTCTGTAAGACAGGGATGATGATCGATGGCATTGGAATTAGTACTCAATAAGAAAAGAGAAAGTAAAGTTGAAGAAGCAGAGTTTTGGAATTCTTCGGGGTGTTTTCATCTTGTTGAACACCAAATCAGAGGTTAATGTGCCCAGAGATAATTTTTTTTTTTTTTTTTTGGAATTTTCTCTCTAAATCATAGTACAGTATAAGCTTTAGTGGAGTTGAGGGCTTCAGGCAAAAGCTTTGGCCGATTGTTTTAATTACGTACTTTCTTAGACAATATACATTTCTGCAGGGTTTTTCCTATATGTGATTATCATCCCAGCTGTCCATAGTGTCCATTTGGAGACTCATTAACTTGTTAATTATGCTCTTTGGTGGGAATCGAAGTCTAGTCTATTAACAGGAAAGATAACACCCTAACGACTAGGCCATCATTCTATTCCCATTAACCTGTTATGCTAAAGGAGAGCCTTATGCATATCTGTCCAACTGAAATGAAAGAAGAAGAAGAAGACAAATGCATCTCCTCCTGGTTGCGTTATCAAATGTCAAGCAATTTGAACTGATTTCAATAGGCACTGTCTCAACTAATCGCATCTTCCCTGGTACAAATTCTTTGTTCGTTCAATACAATCACCAAACTGGAGTGTGTCTTATAACATTGTGAGATACTGAGATCAAAGGCAATGCGTTATAAGAATTCCAACAATTGTCATACAGCATTCGGACCAAGGTTCAGTTCTGTCCCGAGAAAAGCAGCTTTGCAAGAAGCTTTGCTAAATGTAAGGATGGTGTTGTCCCCATTGATGAAAATCATGAAACTCAAGATGCCCGACTTCTTATGGAGAAATTTTATATTTTTCCTGGCTGGAAAAACTTGTATGATCATGATTCTAATTCCCTCAAGCAGCAGATCAAAGTTTGGGGATCAAAGTTGAACCTTGATGAATTTGTTTGCACCTGCAACCATTTTTCACGTTAATAAATGATGATAACTTTAGATTCAGATTGTCATGCCATGCTTCAAGTCTTTCATTAAAGAAACCTTTAGCCTTTTTGTTGTGATCTGTTTCTGTTACAGATTGTTGGGCTTATCATAAGGACAGTTTCTCCCTTGTGTGAGCGCTAATAGAAGTCGTAAACGCTCCTGTTCGTGTGATAGATAGCTCTGTATCTTTGGTGGAGTGATGTACCGAATTAGACCAGCTCCTCATTCAGCAATAATGATTGATGAATAGGGACCTTTTGATAGAAGAAAATCACTCCGAGTTCCTGCTGTCTTCATTTTTAAGGTTTTGAATGACAGACTAGTTTCTCACAGACAATGGTTGATTTTCCCTTGTAAAAACTCTTCTTGTTATGTCTGCATTTTACCAACAGACAGGTAGCATTTGAAAGCCTTTGACTCTGGTTTTAGGAGCAAATCTCCTTCGATGGTAATACTAATATAGTACCCCCGTTAAATTTTCCAATAGCTGAATCGCATTACGATTTGGATTATGTTTTGATTACCCTTTGAGGTGATAACAAGATTTACAACTCTTGCTTTGGTTGTAGCTCTTTAAAATCAGGAGTTAAACCCATGGATCATAATAGGCATCCAGGTTGTTCGATTTATTGTAATGCCTCTATTAAGAACTGGTGCTGTTAAAAATTGTAACTTATCTGGATTGGTGGGATCAGACCCATTGTATCACTCTTGATAACTTCCTTCTATCTGCTTCAATATGCTCTACCATCTGCAAAGGATCTGGTGTGTGTGTGTGTGTGTGTGTGTGTGTGGGGGTGGTTGTGATTATGATCTTAAGTTTCCTTGTTCAAATGACACAGTTCTTTGGATTGGTGAAAGTGATTGCTCTGTAATTCTGTTGCAGTGTTTTGGAACCAACTATGCAGTGGCTAATGAGGCTATTACTGGTCTCCCCTCTTTCTTTTTTCTTTGTTCCTTATAAACAAAATCAATTATTTGCTGTGTAAAGTTGTAGCATTCTGGAAAATGTAACCAAAGCAAAGAAGGGGTGTGAGGGTGAAATGAGCTACTTTTCGGGCCTTATAAACTATCCATATTCTGTTCTACTTCTGCTTCTTAGTACGTTCTTACCACCAAGTTCACAGTGTAGGTGAAAATTGATTGGGAATCATGTTGGATTATAAGGGTACAGAAAAGGATGTATGTGTATATATAGTCCCCATTTGGCTTCTCAATCTAATTTTAGGTCTAATTTGGATTTGAAAGGCTTCAAAATGGTTTACCACAATTAATTGTGTTTTGAGATACTCAAAATTGTGTCTTTTTTTTTTTTTTGGTTGGAGATGATATCAAGTATATTTCTTCATTAACAAAAGAAACAGTCATAACAACTGCTTTCACAAAGTAAAACCTGATATGGAACTGTAATCAGATTAAGGAGCACATAGGCGTATGTTGATAGAATATGTCTTGTATAGAAAAGATGGTGTGTCATAGCATAAAATCAGTGATTGATTAGAATAGAATCAATAGTGATTAGCTGAAAATCAGCAATCAATATTTGATCGTGTAACCTTGTATAAATATTCCCTATTAATGGGTACACAATCCTTGAGAGTGAGGAATTATTCAGACTTCTTATATTCTTTATATGTAACCTACTGGATTGAAGTACACACAATTTCAAATTTAGAACCAAAAAATTTAATAAATGGCTAGTGAAACATCTTCTGGATTAAAGCTCCAATTATAAATATAAATTAACTAAATATCCAAAAGAATGAATGGATATTAAAAAATGGCTGCCGATAAACTATAAATCTCCACTGTGAAGACAAATAATTCTACTATGCGGAGCGAATATCCACCGTGAACACTCTAAATTTAATTATTACTAGATGTTTGGCCTAGGCAGATGCCCGGGCACTCCTTCTAAATTACTATTTTATTAAAATCTAATTGAATTACTATTTTTTGAGGAATTAATTTGACGTATATATCATTTATGCTATGGTTTGGGGCTTAAAAATATACCTATAAATCTGAAGTTATAAGGGAATAATAAATAATTAGTTTATAAGGCATTATTCTTGATTGCTGGATTTATGTATTTTTATTTTTTGTTTATATTAAGCCTGCAAAACTATACGATTGGACATTTGAATTTGAATTAATATATCCATTCGTTTGAAATGTAACTGATCCTTATTTGTAGTAAAACATGTGTTTTTTTAAAAAAAAAAATTATATAACTTCTAATTAAAAGAGACATACACGTGGCAAAAAGACTCATGAAATCTGAAATATGGTGCATTGGAGCCAAAACAGATGCATACGTAATTGCCACATAAGTTTCATGTCTTCTGCTTTAATAGGGTAAAAGGGATGAGAGAAATATTCTCCCTCGACAATGAAACTACTAACGGCAAAACCAGAAAATTACTTCTCCCATCTCCCTAGCTAGTATAAAGAAGATTAATTGGAGGAAGA